GAACGAACACCGAATCGAATATTACCTTCATACCAGTGGGGTAGGTGGGGGGGAGCGAACCCCCAGCACTTACCCGCGGCCGGACTGCCCAATTCCAGCGGGCAGTCGACTGCCCGCCGGGCACCCGTTGGAATGTGACCGCCCACCGGCGGGTGGTCCTCCACCCACCGCCCACCCGCTGGAACGGGGTGGCGCGACGGGTCGTTTTCCCCCGTTTGTTGTTTCCCCGTGTCTCGTTGTTCCCCGTTGTACCCCACTTGATGCTTATGAGTCTCGTATGATGTTTTGAGTGCCGTTCTAGGAATTTATGTGTAGTGCGTATCGTTGCTATTATACATTTATACCTTGATTGTTATTATTGATTATATGTTAATTGATTGAATGATGATGGGTGTTGTGATCATTGCGCAATGATGGTTGAGGTCGATGATAATGAGATTGTGATTGGTGGAAATGAATTGTTGGCGGATAGCACAAGGAGTGCCCGGTTATCGTGGTAAAGGCACGTACCACCCCTTAGACTTGCTGGCTAAAGGCTTGGGTCAGGGTATAAGCGCCGCGGTGCCATGTCAGAGCTATATGTGCTGACCCCTTGATTATAGTGTTATAGGCACGGATCATGCCTATGGCACTTCGGTGATACCATGTTGGTGGACTTGTTGGCGATTTCGATGTTGGGCATGTGTGCTCCGGAGGAATAAGGGAGGCGATATAAGGGTGGCCTGAAGGTACAGGTTGGAACTGATATAAAGATGGAGAGGAGTAAAGGTTGGAACTTGGTATAAGATTGGAAGATGGATTGGTGTGCTTTGATGATTACTTGTTAATTGATTGTCATTGGATCCCATTGTTGCCTTTAACTGTTATTTATGAGCTTACTTGCCTATTATGCTTTGCAAACGTAGGATGCATGCTAGTATCTTTTTAATATTCAAATTGTTGCCTTATTGATGGTGTCTCGAGTCGTGATCCTGGTTTTAAAGCTAGAGTTGCTCAGGACTATATATGTATTCCAGTTTCAAAATGGTTTCCTATATTTATATTTATTATACTTAACGTGTGGGAGTGGGTTACTCAGCATTATTCGCTGACGGTTGCTACGACATGTTTTTTAGGTGATGATCAGTAGCTAAGGAGCGCGCTAGATGGACTTGTAGCCTTAGCTTAGTTAGTACTGGTGCTGATGATGGCCTGCATGCCCTGGCTTGTGTTTTGAACTTATGGATTTTATGTATTGATTAGTTTAGCTTGTGCACCTAGGTTCTCAAACCTAGGTGTGGCATAGCACCCCGACTCTCGTGAACAGTTTATGTTCTGTTTGGATGTTTAACAATAGATTGCGTTATTTTTATAAGCTTTTAAATGTTTTAAAAATTAGGGTGTTACATTACCTTTTGGTCTCCCCGAGCAACCCCAACCCCAACCCCGGTTGGAGTTGGGAACTTGAGGCACACGTGCTCTATGGAAATCACGCTCCTGAGATCTTCTAGGGCGGGTCGGTCAAGTATTATGTTGTGGATGCAGTTGATTTTCACGACCACAAACTCGACCTCCCACCTCTTGACGTGAGGTGTGGCGCCTATCTCCACCTCCAGGTTTATCGATCCCTCCGTCTCAATTGAGTCCCCCGTGAACCCAGAGAGAGGGGTCCTTACTTGCTCCAGCTGTTCCTTGGAGAGTCCTAGCTGGGTGAAGGTGTCGTAATACATAATGTTGACCGAGCTGCCTGTGTCAACGAGCACCCGATGCACGACCACGTTGTTGATGTCCAGCTTGACCACCAAAGCATCTCGGTGGGGGAGGGGCCCATCCGGCAGGTCAGCATCAGTGAAGGTGATGGGCTCCCTCCGTGGCTTCTTCTCGTGTGGCGCCCGTGTGGCCTCCCCTACATACAGGCTTCTTGCCACCTCTGCCGTTTAGCTTGTGTGTCGCCTCCTTGGGGCTCCCCGAAGATGACATAAATGACGCGTTTTTTCAGGGGCTGGGAGTCCTCCGTTATCTTGTCCTCCCCTTGGAGCTCTGGCCGAGCTCCCTCTTGCGTGGCGCCGAGGTGGATGGCGTAGAGCGACCCCCGTTTCCTCCACACATTGCCTTGCTTCTGGCCGGGCCTTTTAATGAATTGGCCGAGGTAACCCATTTGGATAAGTTCCTCGATTTGCTTCCTTAGGAGGATGCATTCGTTCGTGACGTGCCCTTTCTGCTGGTGGAACCTACAGTACTTGTTGGGGTCCACCTTCACCGATATCTTCATGCACTCCTCCTTTAGGAATACGATGATCCCCTAGCCCTCTGCGTGAGCTATGATGGTGCTCACAGGTTGCGTCAACGGGGTGAGCAAACGCGAAGGGGTCAGCCTAGGCCCCTCGGTGTGGTCGTGGCGCCCTGCGCTCCTCCTGCGACGCCTTGTCTTTCCGACCTCGCCCCTCCTCCTCCTCCTTCTCTCTCTTCTCGGCGGCCTCGGCGTCAGCGAACCTTGCCACCCGGTCCATCATGTTGGTTTAGGTCATGGGGGGTACCGAATGAGGTCCTAGTGGAAGGCACCCGACCTCAAATTGTTCCTGAAAATTAGCATGACCGACTTTCCATCAAAATTAGCGACCCCCATGGCCTCTTTCTTCCATTTGTTGAGGTACTCGGCTAACGACTCTGAGCTCTTTTGTTTCAGGTCACACAAGTCAACGATTGCTTCTTCCTCTATATGTTGGTGGCAAAGTGGGACAAAAACTTCTTGGTAAGGTTCGCAAAGGTAGAGATGGACCCCTCTGGAAGGGACCCAAACCAGTCATGCGCCTGCCCGTCCAGGGTGGCAAAGAATCCCCTGCACACAGGATGGCGTCGGTGGCACCGGTGATCATCATGGCGGCCCTGTACCTGGTGAGGTGCGTCCATGGGTCAATGGTCCCTATGTATGCCTTGATGGTTGGGAAACGAAAATCTTTGGGTAGGGGCTCCTCCATAATGGCGTTTACGAACGGGGTGGACAGCACGTCCTGGGGCTCTAGGGACCCGTCCTTCTCGTCAATTTTCTTTTGGAGCTCGTCCATCCTGCTCCGGAGCTGTTCAACCTCTTTCCGATGGGAGCTCGGAGCTCGACCATTCGTTTCACCAGATCGCTCGACCCGGGAGGCCTACTCACGCCGTGGTTAAGGTCGGGTCCCCCAACCTACCGATCCGCGTGATCCCGCCGCGTGCCGCAGCTGGACGCAAGGCTCGTGGCTTGGCTACCTCCAGGTGACTGATTCTTGCCGTGGCGGCCTGCGGAAGCATGACTCCGCTGCTGGTGGTTCGTTGGCAGTTGGCCTTGGACCCAGCCTGTCCCGGGCCGACACACGGTTGCCCAACCTCTCCAGGGCAGGCCTAGTTTGGGTTGGTGCTCTTCTATCGTCATTGTGATGGCGGTCCCAGCGAGAGGCACCTCCTCCCCGCCTGTCCGTTGGTCGCGGTGAGTTAACCTCCCCTTGGGTGGTGGGTGTCAGGGGTGGCCGGGTGCTTGGACCGCTGCGCCCCCTGGAGGGAGGTGGAGATGGAGGCGGTGCCGGCATCCCTTGGGTGATGTCCAGGTTGGCTTGCGCCTCTGCACGAAGACCCGCCGCGACTCATGCTAGCGCCGTGGAGGCTTGTTCGAAGACCGCCACCCCCTCCCAGAAGAGAGCGTGATTCGGAGAGGGGGTAGCGGGGGGCGGTGCACCACTGCTACGGTGGTTGGCGAGCTGACCCCTCAGGTCTCCCCCGACCTGATGGAGGCGGTCGGTTGGAAGCTATGGGCCTCGTTGGGGCCGTTCCCGGTTGCGACGAGCTGGGTGCCGCAGGAACCGTTGGTGTGGCGAGAGTTGGATATCGATCCTGCCATGGTAACTGATCGTGGTGGTTCAAGGGATAAAGGACACGCTTGAGCTGGTACAACAGTTCTCAACAAGAGCACCAATGATGGATATAATTACCCGGGATGGATCTGAATCACTAAATCCGGATAAGAACGTAAATAGCAAATAAATAGATAAATAATATGATGTCGTAAGGCTGTAGAGGCCGTAGGTTGTATTATAATAATAGTCGGGCTATTACAACGATAGTTTAGGACAAAGTGTGTAAGATAATGATCAGGTGTCCTTACAAGACAAAGGGAAGGGCTTTTATACATGTAAAAAACCCTCAACCGCCCCCCTAAAATGGCGGGAGGTTAGATCTCCGCGCTGACCGCGCCAGGACAAGATCGGGGGTCGGGTCAGCGCACGTTGAGCTCGGGCATGACCAATCTCAATATGACCCGAGCTCGGGTCACTACAAGAATATTAGCATTTAGCGACGTTTTTTAAACGTCGGTAAAAATAAAAATGCGTCGCCAAATGTCTTTACTGACGAAATAAAAACGTCACCCGAACCATCGGGTTAGCGGCGTATGGAAAGGTATTACTGACGAAGTTAATTTTTCGTCACAAAATATTACTATTACTGACGTTTTTGCATGGTCTTGATAATGTCATGGAATACATACTTTTTGAAACGAAATATTAACAAAACGTCGGTAATAGTTTGTGACGAAGTAAAATATTTCGTCAGCAAATGTGTCTTTACTGACGTTTTCCATACAATTATACTTGTCATTAATAAATTTAATTGGTGACGAAAAATGAAATGCATCAATAAAATTACATTTACTGACGATTGTATACATTATTATGTTGTCATTAAAAAAATTAATTGATGACAAAATAACAATTTGTTAGTAAAAAGACATTTACTGACGTTTTTTTTTTTCCATATTCATTGTCATCGCAAAATTTTATATTTGGGAATATTTACAATTTTTTTTTTAATAATTGATGATAATTTACATATACTTGTATATAAAAAGGTTTACACAACAGCTTCATGTAATTGAGAACAAAATATTTTAGCATCAATTAAATGTTCAAAATAGAAGAATATTTTTCATAGTATTACAAGGATGTAAATGTGATACAAATGATTCTTAAATATGGTCTGACTAGACAAGGGAATATATACAATTCTATGCACATAAGTAATAATTCTCATGTTTAGAGGCCGGCACTTTGGAAGTCCTTTGTCTTGGGAAGAAGGCCTGATTTGATGAGTACATCTAGATATGCAATAATCCCTGCCACTAAAAAACATAAATATTTTCAAGCATGAATAATAAATTATTCAAAACTATATATTCAACTATGGTACAAGTATTTTTAATTTTAAATATTTAAAATATACAATGATGGTGGTGGTGGGTGGTGGTAGTACACTCTTTATTCCTTTGGGTGGTGGATTCAGGACTCAAGAGCAAAAATGATTCAGACAAACTCAATAAATAGAAACAAAATTACTACCAGCATATAACTAAAGGTCCCCAATTGAAAAAGGCATGCCAGATTATATCAATACACATAAATTGTGGATTAGGACTAAGTAGTTGTGGTAGAAACAGAAGTTCAGATGCTTTTAGAAAGAATTTGTTTCCCTATGTGACTAAAGTTTTTCCTTCATTTTTATTTGGGTAGCTTAGTACGTATATCATTTACTCAGTTATCGGATTGTTACAGCACAATAGTCAATAGGGAGAGGGGATGAGAACTGATTGTATTATATTTTCTAAACTTAATTACAATGAGATCAGATGATGTGAATATATAGAATAGAGAGTCACAATGTGACAATGATAAGAAGTAGAGAGTCACAGTGTGACAAAGATAAGAAGTTCTAAACAGACTCATATACATAGAGTCCTAATACTCCCCTCAAGCACAGTGTATACTAGTAACCTGTAGCTTATCCCTTAAGGAAGAAAATCTAGGTCCAGGCAGAGCTTTGGTGAAGATATCTGCAAGTTGATCCTTTGTGGAGATGAAGTTGACTTGGATATCGCCCGAAGCTACTCGATCACGAACAAAATGATAATCAATCTCCACATGCTTGGTGTGCGCATGAAAGGTTGGATTTGCACTCATATATGTAGCACCTAGATTATCACACCATAATTTTGGAATGGAAATACCCGGAATCTGTATCTCACGCAATAATGACATAATCCATAGAACCTCAGCACAAACATCTGCAAGAGCTTTGTATTCAGCCTCAGTGGATGACCTGGCAACAGTTCTCTGTTTCTTGCAAACCCATGATATAAGATTACTCCCCAAGAAAACAGCAAAACCACTCGTGGATTTTCGATCGTCAGGACAACCAGCCCAATCAGAATCAGAGAAAGCATGAATGTCTCTAGATGAGCACCGTCGTATGCGTAAACCATGATCAACTGTTCCCTTAACATACCTGAGTACCCGTTTGAGCTGCTCCCAGTGTGATATGGTGGGGGCATGCATATGCTGGCATAACTGATTAACTGCAAAGGATAGGTCAGGTCGTGTGACAGTGAGATATTGCAGTGCTCCAGCTAGACTCCTGTACTGTGTGGGATCATCATATAGATCTGAATTGAAAGGGACAGTTTTCGAGACAGAGATAGGTGTAGAAAGGGGTTTGCATTTAGACATTCCAGCCCGTTTTAAAATATCATTCATATACCGTTGTTGAGATAAAATAATTTCATTGTCACTCTTAACTGTTTCAATACCCAGAAAAAAAATTGGTTCACCAAGATCTCTGATTTTGAATGTAGCAGACAGTTTGGACAAGAGCTAAGACATAATACCTTGATCACTTCCCATTACAAGAATGTCATCCACGTACACCAATAGATAAACCAAAGCAGAGTCTTTAGAGTAATAGAACAGAGAGACATCTGTCTTGGATGCTTGAAAGCCAACCGATAGTAAGAACGTATGTAGTCGATTAAACCAAGCTCTGGGAGCTTGTTTTAACCCATACAGAGATCTTTTTAACAAACAAACATGATTCGGGAAGTTAACATCAATATAACCAGGGGGTTGCTTCATATAAACTGTTTCAGCCAGATTACCATTCAGAAAAGCATTATGAACATCTAGCTGTTTGATAGACCACCCAGATGATAAAGCTAGAGATAGAAGGAGTCTTACAGTCGTAGGCTTTACCACTAGACTAAAAGTGTCGAAGAAGTCCTGACCTGGAACCTGATTAAAACCTTTCGCAACCAGCCTGGCTTTATGCCTTTCAATAGCACCATCAGCCTTTCTCTTCGTACGAAACACCCATTTACAGCCAATAATATTCATACCTGCAGTGGGTGGAACTAGAGACCATGTGTGGTTATGCAGGAGAGCATTGAATTCTTGGTCCATGGCTTCACGCAACTCAGGATATTTGACAGCTTGAGAGTAACATGTGGGTTCCGTGGGATGCACTTGAGCTGCTAGAGCAAAAAGAGGAGCATCTGCGTTGCTGCGAGTGGCCATAGAGTGAGTACGGACATTGGGCCTGATGGACCGCCCACGTGGACGGCCTCACCGGCGAGCAACAGGCTCCACTGGATCACCCGACGAGGCAGCCTGTCCAGGAACCACGGCTGGTTCGAATGAAGCAGGTAGCGGCGGTTCTGGCAGCTAATCATTGGACACGGCAGGAATAGGTGTGCTGTGACTGAGAACAGATTCCGCCCAAGGTCCAGAAAACGGAGTAGATAGATCCTGCAAAGAAGTTTTAGTAGCAAAGGGGAAAACTTCTTCATCAAATCTGACATGCCTGCATGTGTAAATCTTATTAGTATGTAAGTCCATGCATCTGTACCCCTAAAGGACTCAGGATAACCTAGGAAGACACATGGAGAAGACCTGTATGACATCTTATGACGATTATATGGTCGAAGATGAGGGTAGCATAAACACCCAAAGACACGAAGAAAAAGATAGGAAGGAGGGGATTTATGTAACAGGAGATGAGGACTGGAGTTATTTAATACAGAAGATGGCATTCTGTTAATTAAATAGACAGCAGTCTCAAAGGCAAAATCCCAAAATTTCAAAGGAACAGAGGCATGAGCTAGAAGAGCCAGACCAGTTTCAACAATGTGACGATGTTTTCGTTCAACACGACCATTCTGTTCATGTGTATAGGCACAGGATTGTCTATGTTGAATTCCTAATTGAACAAACAAAGAATGCAACTTTTTGTACTCAGCACCTAAATCAGACTGAATGGCCTTTATTTTGCAATTAAAGGACCGTTCAACAAGAGTACGAAATTTATCAAAGATGACATAAAGATCAGACTTTAATTTCATAGGAAAGAACCATGTATAACGGGAATAGTCATCCACAAAGATCACAAAATAACGGAAGCCAGAAGTAGATAAAGTGGGCGCAGGACCCCAAATGTCTGTGTAAATAAGATCTAGGACTTGAGAACTAGAGGAAGCAACAAGGGGGAGGGGAAAACGGGCAGATTTGCCTAATTGACACGCATTGCATAAAGAATTATGACAACGAATATTATCACGAGACCCACTAACCAAACAAGAACGAAGTATATGGCTAAGAACACGGTTATGAGGATGACCTAGACGATTGTGCCAAGTGGAAGCCGAGGCACGAGCGGAAATAAACGCTGACGGAGACGAACTAGGTAATGAAAGTGTGTATAGTCCCCCGAACTATTGCCCCGAAGAAGTATTTCCTTGGTATTGATATCTTTTACAACAAAAAAGGAGGGGTGAAACTCAAAAAAGACTTTATTATCGGATGCAAACTTCTGAACAGATAATAAAGAATTAGACAAATGCGGAACGTGAAGTATATCAGACAATGTAAATGATCTAGAAGGGGTATTAAAAGAGGCATGGCCAACATGACTAATAGATAAACCCATACCGTCACCGACACGTAAAGTGTCATTACCAGTGTACTTCTCCGATGTAGAAAAGGCAGCGATGTTCGGAGTTGCATGATTTGTGGCTCCAGTGTCCGGAACCCAAGTATGAGAATTTGACGAGGTTTTAGCAACTAAACCATTCTGAAACACCAAATTAGCCTTAGAACCCGAAGCCCCTGAATATCGCCGAAAACAGTTGACTCCCGTGTGACCGAAACTTTTGCAAATTTGACACGGATCATTATAGCGCCAAAAACAATTGGCTCCCGTGTGACCAAAACGTTTACAAATTTGACACGGATCATCATAGCGCCAAAAACAATTGGCTCCCGTGTGACCAAAACGTTTACAAATTTGACATGGATCATCATAGCGCCAAAAACAATTGACTCCTGTGTGGCCGAAACCTTTACAGATTTGACACGGATCATCGAAGCCACGTTGCTGACCTCCACGGTAATTAAGGTTGCCATCGCAGCGCTGCATCTTCTTAATTTTATGAATCACAAAACCCTAGCTAACTGATACCAGATGAGAACTGATTGTATTATATTTTCTAAACTTAATTACAATGAGATCAGATGATGTGAATATATAGAATAGAGAGTCACAATGTGACAATGATAAGAAGTAGAGAGTCACAGTGTGACAAGGATAAGAAGTTCTAAACAGACTCATATACATAGAGTCCTAATAGAGGGAGACAAGACAGTGTGGTACTTTTTAGCACACCTTGATAACCACTACTCAATGCTAAACGCTTAACCCTTGCCAACCTCCACATGGCTCTATTGAGCCTAAGAATGATCAACACATATAATGTAAATCCAACATTTGTTCATACCTGTGTATGGCGAAAACTGTTCACCTTGACCACACCAACTGCTACCAGTCCCTTTCTCTGCTCTACTTTGTCTCTGTGATCCTGGTTCTTCTACATGAATGTTCAGATAAAGCAAAGTGGGTCAAAGGGTGTGCTACATGAATTTCTAAACCTCTCATAGCAAAACCTTTTGAACCAAACAAATGAATCAATGCCATAAATGTTTCATGGAGAGGCCGTAGACCTTCACTCAACTCCCTTCTATGCATGAAAAGTGAAAGTCTGAAGCTGGTTTTTTTCATGAAAGATAAGTTTTCTTTTCTATGCAATTTGGAAAATTTGACCCAACTAAACATAAAATTTTCATATTTCCAGTGAGGTATTTAGAAATTTTAACTCTATTTACACTAAAATAAATAATCATATTGTGCACATCCAAAATATACTATCGGTTAAAATTCTAGTGGTGTCAACTGGCCCACTAGTTCAAAGGGGTGGCTTTGCCACTGATCTGGACAACACTTTATTTACTCCGACAGGTGAAACTTGTTTGCCTGTATAATGTTTTAGGATACGTTGGTCAAGTCAATAATGGATAGTGCACACTATTTTACACCAAGTAAACGGGCTATAAATGTCTGGCATACAATAACATCTAACTCTACAAATGGAAGAACTTTGAATATGAGAAATACATTTTTGCGACTGACCTATTATAAGACTCAGCCCTTGTATATACTTGGATCACCCAATTATAAGTCTCTGTATTAGGTTTCATATAAGCTGCAAAAAAAAAAAAAAAAAAAAAAAAAAAAACAAAACAAAACAAAACAAAACAAAACAAAAGAAGCTAATATTAAGTTTATACTGGTAAATTCAAAAGAATATGATACTGTTTTGATCTAATAAGAAGTAATCAAGCCACAAGCTTGTGACAAACAAGAAGTCCTGCCTGCATTAATCAAGTTACATAAAAAGTAACTTTGGTATCTACATTCTGCTCAAATACTTGTAGAAGCCAAAATAGCATGTAATAATGCTATGTCAAAACCCAAATTAAGGCTATGATTACTGATGGTTTTTGGGTTTTCGGGCCCAAGGAGGTCCAACACAACCTTTAGCTGGAGGATACACCTTTCAATAAAGCTTGCTAAAATAATATGGGCTCGATGATTTTGACGTGGAAACCGAAAGGAAAACCACGAGCCTTTTTGGGCGGTGCCAAGCCTAACTCCACTATGCATTTTGTAGGTGTCTTTTGTACATACTTGTAGGGCTATTCTCTATACAAAGTGTTGGTTTTCTAATAATATAGTGAGAATAATAGAAATGAAGAGTGATGGAATGGTGTGGAAGAGTCCTTCCATGTGTATAGATGAGTGGTCTTCTTAGGAGAGTCCTCTCATGTGTGAATAACGTGATTGGAATCTTCTTGAGATAGTGTTTGTGGAAGAGTGCTATGTGGCCTCCTCGTATGTAAGAATGGTTGCCCCCTCACTACTTGCTCCCTTCCTCCTTTTATAGCTAGCACATCCCAAAAGTGTCCGTTGGACCATTTAGTAGGGTAGTTAATAGGTATTAACTTGGTTATTAGTGGGGTAATAAGTGGGAGACTTAATAGGTAGCCTTTATTTGGGAGGGTTATGGATGAGGTAGATAAATGGGCTTTAATAGAATGTTTAATAGGATTTAATATGGACTAACGGCTAGTTCTTAGGTGGGCCAATTGGGCTAGGTGGGCCAATTGGATTAGATGGGCCAATCGGGGCTAGGCGGTCCAACTAGGCCCAAATTTCGGGTATCCATCAATTACTTTATCTCACAGGAGTGTGATAAGAAAGACATTGAAGATAGTTTTATCCTATACCATGACCATCCAATGGCCAAATAAGATAAACTTCCTGTACCACAATTTGAATGGATGGGTTTAATTTGTTGTGCATTAAGGACTACCCTAAAAGGAAGTAGTGTACTTGTGTGTGTAGATCACTTTTCAATCCTGTTAGGTAACAGGTGAAAGAAAAAAGACTATTTACTTTAGGTAACTCTAGAGAGTGTAATTTGTTGTATTCATATGGAACAAAGTCTATCATTGTTCAATGCTTAGCCAAGTTATTAGCTTATGATATCTAGATTTAAGCATGCACATTATGAGAGATAGGAAGCAAACATGTTAAACAAATCTGCAGCAATAGAAGCAGAAAAGAATCACCTATGAAAAGGAGGGACATGAATTCATGAAAAAGGAGGAGGTTTAAGTAAAAGCCTGACAAGAGAAATGAAGAGGCAGACCTTCTCCATATTCCATGTTTTCAAAGGTTGCAAATGCAACTTCAGGTATACCACATATAGCCTAGCACCAAAAAGGGACAGGAAAAATAATTGTTATGTTAGGTGAGTTCTCATCAGCCAAAATGAAAATGATCATAAAAGATTCCTTTTCTGCAATTACTGATGCAGTAGTTTTATACTAGGAATCAATCAATAAAAGAAGTAAACCCAACTATCAAATAAAGAACATCATGCTCAAAACTCAACCCAACTATCAACTAAATGATTTATCTTTCATTGTTCCCTTATATGCCTATCTCTTTTGCCTTTTGTTGCCAGGGGTATCTGAATTCAAAACATCATTTGAAGACATTTATAACCCTGAAAAAAGCTAATAGAGAGCAGTATATCTACACAAAGACATCTTCACTTATGAGGCTTATGCATAATAGATTGCAGCTACAGAACAATAATAAGACCAAAAATCTTAATAAACAAGGAAAAAATATCATATGAATTAATAGCCAATCTGTTAAATTTTCTTTGCCAAATAACATCAAATAGTTACAGAATACTTTTGAAAATTTTTTAATTCACAACTTTCAAATATGGAAAATTCAACAATAAAATTACTAGAAAAACATATAGATTTAGGGCTTAATGAAATTATGAGATAGAGATAAATAGAATTAGGAATTTAGGGATTAGGGTTTATGATTTGAGGACTAACCTGTGACGGCGATGGAGACGTCGACTAGTGAGGCGACGGGAAGAGTGTCGACGACGGCAGAGACGGGAAGAGGGTGTCCTGTCTCGACGGCGGCAGCAGCTGGAAGAGGCAACTTTTGTGGAGGAGCGATGGTAATGGGAAGAGGAGTTGGCTGACTCGACGGTGGCGGAGGCGGGCAGAGGCGTCTCAACGGTGGCTTAGATGGCGAGGGAAGGTTGAGATGGAGGAGACCAGAGAGCTGAGATGGCGAGGGATGGCAAAGCTTTGGTTTGTAGTGAGGTGTGAAATACTCGTTCAAGATGTGAACGACTCTCGAGTTTGATATTTTAGACATCTTTTTTTAATTTCTAAAGAGATTGTATTTTAATGGCGCCAAAGGATAAATAGTTTTCCCGCACAAATATTTTCACTTTTTCTGACGTTTTATGTTAAAATTGATTTTTAAAATAGAACATTTAGGGACGTTTATTATAAAACGTCATTGATTCTATATTTTTACTGACAAAAAAATAATATTTCGTCAGCAAATATCACCCAACAAAATTATTATCTCTACCAAAATATATAGTGACGTTATTTAATATAACGTCGCAAATTGTTATATTTAGCGACGTTTTCTAGAGCGTCGTTAAAATTTTCGTCGGGAAATGAAAGATTTGTTGTAGTGGGTAAAACCGAGCTGCTCCACCTGAGCCCACCACCGGGTGGCTTGGCCTGGGGCACCTCCGAGATGTCTTGGGCTGAGGTGCCTTGGACCAATGTGCATTGGGCCGAGGTGTCTTGGGCTCCACCTTGATGCTCCGGGTCTGCGATGCTACCCCGAGTCGGTTCGTGTATAATATATCCATCACTAACATCCAGAATTCATGTAAGCCAAATATTACACATTTTGTAATTGAAGTAGAATATATTCTGGCATATTCCAAACCTTGGACACATCTAAATTTAGAAACACAGAAAAAACCCAAAATCCCATTTGTATTTACATACATATATAATCCAAAGGTTGATTTTTTCTTTTCTTTGCATTTATAGTAATTAGTAATTACTAGTTTTTTCTATGTGCGATTCACAAAAACATATGTCCAATATTTATATTTTTAAAAATAATTAACAAATCTTTACTAATCAAAATCTATATAAAATCAAATTTATTTATTATATTAATCAAATATATAATGTTTACAAATATTATTATCATTAAATAATATAAGAAAATATATGGTGGATGCATGTGCATGCTAACAATAATGGAAAAGATAACGGAAGTTATAACGATAGGATATTTTTGTTCAAAAAATTATATAGTACAACTCTAAAAGCACAATGTACAAAATGATTACTACTAAAAATATGGACATAATACTCCTGCCCCCATACGCAGCAACAACATATTTTTTGGAGATTTAAGACTGCTCCATTCCAAAGCCAAAGATCGAACCATTGGCCTTTGGTTAAGGATGGATGAATCTCTTCCACTCAACCACACCCTCCAAGTTACCGCAACAGCATATTAAAAGCAAATAAAAGGCATATATGATGCTTTTTAAAAAATTACAAATTCACATTAGGATATAGAGCAATCGTGCTAATAGCGTGCTTATAACATGTTGTGAAATTGGATGAATTCTCGTGTGAATAGTTGTATGGTTTTGATTATAGTAAAGTAATTAATGAGTGTATTCGGTAGAAGAGACCAATGTTCGAACCTCGTCAGCAGCAGTGCTGAGATTATGTCTAAAGTTGATAGATCCCTTGTGCGCATCGACATTTGGCCTTATTTATTGAGTCATTGAGTCACCATAATTTACATCATTTCAAATACTCTGTCGAGCTAAGGTGTGTGGTTCTTCTAATTAATATTACTATATAACAAAACTAATAACGATGAAGATGTATTATCATACTGTAATACCTCTAGTAATATTTACATTTAATAATCTATACTATATATAAAAACAAAATCCTGAAATTTTAACTTCCCGCCCAATTCCTAAAAAATCTCTCTTCCTAATAAAATATATTGATTTCTACTTTCTCATTCGTACAATAATTCTGCGTTAAAATTCTATTCTAATATTATGAAATAGTGTAATACAATCTATACTATATATAAAAACAAAATCCTGAAATTTTAACTTCCCGCCCAATTCCTAAAAAATCTCTCTTCCTAATAAAATATATTGATTTCTACTTTCCCATTCGTACAATAATTCTGCGTTAAAATTCTATTCTAATATTATAAAATAGTGTAATACAATCTATACTATATATAAAAACAAAATCCTGAAATTTTAACTTCCTGCCCAATTCCTAAAAACTCTATCTTTCTAATAAAATATATTGATTTCTACTTTCCCATTCGTACAATAATTCTGCATTAAAATATCCATTCTAATATTATAAAATAGTGTAATACAATCTATACTTCTATACTATATATAAAAACAAAATCCTGAAATTTTAACTTCCCGCCCAATTCCTAAAAAATCTCTCTTCCTAATAAAATATATTGATTTCTACTTTCTCATTCGTACAATAATTCTGCATTAAAATTCTATTCTAATATTATGAAATAGTGTAATACAATCTATACTATATATAAAAACAAAATCCTGAAATTTTAACTTTCCGCCCAGTTCCTAAAAAATCTCTCTTCCTAATAAGATATATTGATTTCTACTTTCCCATTCGTACAATAATTATGCGTTAAAATTCTATTCTAATATTATAAAATAGTGTAATACAATCTATCTATACTATATAACAAAATCCTGAAATTTTAACTTCCCGCCCAATTCCTAAAAAATCTCTCTTCCTAATAAAATATATTGATTTCTACTTTCCCATTCGTACAATAATTCTGCGTTAAAATTCTATTCTAATATTATAAAATAGTGTAATATAATCTATACTATATATAAAAACAAAATCCTGAAATTTTAACTTCCTGCCTAATTCCTAAAAAATCTATCTTCCTAATAAAATATATTGATTTCTACTTTCCCATTCGTACAATAATTCTGCGTTAAAATTCTATTCTAATATTATAAAATAGTGTAATACAATCTATACTATATATAAAAACAAAATCCTTAAATTTTAACTTCCCCGCCCAATTCCTAAAAAATCTCTCATCCTAATAAAATATATTGATTTCTACAATAATTCTGGGTTAAAATTTTATTGTAATATTATAAAATTGTGTAATACTATTCCTATTCTAATCTATATCTATTTTATATATAAGTGTTGCAAAAATCGTGTCGCTGGCCGCGGCGAGAATCGGCCTCCTCAGCAGGCGCCTCGCCGGCTGAACCGGCCTTCAATTTTTTTTTTTTTTTAGTTGTAAAGTGTCAAAAGTTCGGCAAGGCATAACTTTTGACTCCGTTGTCCGTTTTAGTCAAATGTTTTTTTGAAATCGCGTATTTTTTCGAGATCTATCCACCGCAAACTGTCGTAAGCGGTTTGGCCAACCAATTTCTAAAAAAAAAATACTTTATTAAAGAGTTTCTAAGAAAAATCTATGAGAACCTTATGTTTTATTAATGAATTTTTAAAATTTTTAATTAAACAATTGTTCTGTGCATTATTTAATAATCTTTCTTTATAATTGGTCAAATTATTTAATTATGGTAAACTTGGAAATAATTAAGGATTGTAATAGAAATCCTAGAAGAATATAGAATTGAACAATATTTAATTATTGTTATATTATTATTGTGACTCACGGAATACAAGAGTTAATGCCATTTTTTGTTCTAGACTTATTGGGGCATTGACACTTTTCATCCTCCATAATAAAAATTGTCACTTAGTAGCCACTGTTATTGATCGTTGGACAGTTTTGATCCTCCGTCAATGACACCGTTTGTTGACCGTGAATTAGAAGGGTTTTTCTGTCTTTTTATGTTCTAATCGGTGTATTTCTCCATCCATTGGTCACTGCTACATCCATTTCTTCAAACTGGGGTTATCCGCTTCAGTCCTTTCTAACATTAAGAAACCATCTTCACCCAACTAACAATCACGGATTTTACATTTGACATCAATCACAAGATAATGGAAACAAGTGAAGTTGGAATAGAAAGGGCGTTAGTCCATGCCTGTGGAAATTTTGTCGAGCATACAACATAACTAGCAAAGTCAGGAATATCACCCAAAGCCTCCCTTAACCTTTCTGCATCAACTATAATAGGTATGCCCCTACTCTTTGCCTCCTGCACTACAATCAAAGCAGTCTCATGCAGCCTTCCATCTAAGTAGACAATATTTACTACAAGCGCTGAAGACAATTTTGATTTGGGTATGTAGACCCTCAGATATCATGGGTGGATATCCTGGAGTGAAAATGCACGTTCGAGTTTTTTTTTTTTTGGTTGTCAACAATGACATATGTGAATGGTGAGTTTCCTCCTTTGGACACCACCATAAAAAATGTATCAACACCATCCCTTTCAAGCTCATCAAGTATTCTTTCGCCATGCGAGTCATCAGCAACCTTAGATATGATCCTTGGATTAAGACAAAGATGAATTTTATCATCCGGGTTTTATCAAAGCATTGCCAGTGTTACCACCTCCTTGAACCTCAAAGCTGGTGCTCCAAATTTTATCATCCGGGTTGGGGAATGAAGCTACAGCAGCCAGGAAGTCAACACCGGCCATTCCAACACCTCAGACAATGCGGTTTTTGGGGAGTGGCAGATTCCACATTTTCAGCTTGAAACTTCAAAGGTAGAATAACAGAGTTTTTGAGGTTGTGCACCAAGTAGTTGTGGTTAGAGAGAGAGAGAGAGATGGGAAGGATATTTGTGGTCAATATGGAAGGGAGGACTTACAGGTGTAAATTCTACATCACGCCATCTACAACTACAACTGCTATTTATCATAGGAGGGTTCGTCGACCTGCTGCCCTCTCTGCTTCGCCGGAACCAAAAACCACCTGTGAAGGCCCCAACCTCGCCGGATCTGTTGTTGCACCGCCAAATCTGCCTTACTGGTCCGTCGCCGGAAGGAGTTACTGCCTCGTATGCTCACCGTCGTACCCACAACTCACGCCATCTACAACTACAACTGCTATTTATCATAGGAGGATTCGTCGACCTGCTGCCCTCTCTACTTCGCCGGAACCAAAAACCACCGGTGAAGGCCCCAACCTCGCCGGATCTGTTGCTGCACCGCCAGATCTGCCTTACTGGTCCGTCACTGGAAGGAGTTACTGCCTCGTATGCTCGCCGCCGTACCCACAACTCGCCAGAGAAGAACCTCGCTGCTACTCACTACCGACGGTTACTACTTAGCCGCCAAGTCTCGCCATCTCACCTCACAGGAG